TGGTCACTCAATCCAACTCTGCTGTGCGGTATTGGCTGCAGCATTTCACCCACAAAATACACAGTCAATCCATTCTACAATATATTCTCTCTGAAGCTCAATGATGTGATCAAGCACTATATCAAGTGCAAGGAATATTATTATTATTTTCAGCGAGGGCTGGAACAGACAACGAATTCCCTGTTGGCTGTGGTCCCAATTCTAACGCTCGCTTCCAGTTTGACATTGATTTTAAAAACTGGGTCAGCGATGTGGGCAGAAGCCACTACCATTCTGAGAAGATAGATTGCCTTCAGATAAAGTGGGACAAAACCATACGTTGCTTAACAACCCAGCACCTTGTGGGAGTATTTTTTTGTGTCGTACAGCGACTTGTATTTACACAGCGGGCTTTGGTGTGGGATAACGTCTCGAGTCGCTTCACGTTGGTGGGGAGGGATGCACTTTGGAAGAGGGCGAAGGTGGGCGCGGGAAGGGGAAGAGGGAGGTGATCATACGCATCATCAACGGGTAGGTTTCAAGACAGGACTTGACGAGAGATGGGGGAGTGAGATGGAGAGGTCGAGGGAGGGAGTTTCAGAGGTTAAGGGATTGAAGGCTCAGTCACTGATGGTGATGCAGAGAGGGCGGGATGGGGGGGGGGGTTTGCGGTGTGATGTGCAGCAAGTCTGGATTATCCGAGCGGAGAGGGCTGAGCAGAGGAAGGGGATATTTACGACTTAATAACATAACTTAATAACTTCATGTTACACCCTAAAATTCCTTTAACCTGGAAACCTTCTTTGGTTGACTGGCGCAGGCAGGAAGGGGGTGATATTTCAGGGGGTAAAAGTCACCAAACAGTTGTCTCAGACAAAGGCAGAACAGCCAATGATAAAAGAGACCCTCTTTTCAACTTGACGTTTCTGACAGATGTGCCTCGAGGAGCCCCTTGGCCCAGTGAGAGCAAAGTCATGGTAATGGCAAGGTCATCGATTTACAGCCACACAACATAAGTCTTGTAAACTTACACCATAATCGTTTGTTTGTATTAGTTTAAGTTACCACCGCTTCATCTGAGTTAAGTCCTCCCTACGTGAACGGCACTATATATATATATGTGTGTGAATTTGTACAGTATTGCGTTGTAAATCATTACAGTGCATCCAGTCGTCTCGTAAGGACACTTGTGGATAAAACGACAACGAGGTGTGACACAGTCGCACTTATTTTCCAATCAGGGCAGGTAACCTGGCCAATATTTCCCCCAAAATAAAATTGGCCGCTCACTTGAGGACTGTTTGTGGGACGTCACTGGGTGCAAATTGGCTGCTGCCTTTGCCTACAAACTAAACAGTCACTCCACTTTGTAGTTAATGCTGTTAATTGCTTTAGGACGTTCCCCCCCCTCCCCCGACATGAAAGTTGTTCTATCAAATGCAAGGATCATCACTAATCAATGAATCGCCCTCCCCAAATCAGACTGCATCAGATTCTGGATTAAGGCTACATTTACACGATGAACAAAACAGGTCCTTCTGTAATGGATTCTGCCATGTGTGATTTCATGGTGACTTTGATTGCCGCAGATCATGAATGTTCTTTCAAAATATTCTACACCCGATTAGTGGATACGAGCGGCAGCAATTTGAACCTGATTGGCTTCCAAAATGTAGAGCTTCCAATGGAGTCCAGGGCTTTGCCAAGGGAGGAGGTCCTCTCCTCCTGATTGAAGAGGGAGAGGAGGTGCTGCAACACCCTCTGGTGTCTGGAAGGCAACGGGGCGCCTGGGTGACCAACTCAACACAGGAACAGGAGGAGGCCACTCAGCCCATCGAGCTTGTTCCGCCAGCTCATTTGATCTTGGCAGATCTTTTCAGCCCAATGTCCCTGGGCCCTCACAGCAGCACCGCAATCTGTTAACCCATTGGGTTTGCAGAAAGCGGAATCCTATGTAATAATAATCCTTGTGTTTTGATATAGCACCTTATCACATCTTCTAGACATCTCAAAGCCAATTGCGCACAGCAGTGTCCCACAAGCAGTCGTGGATTGAGTGACCTATTTATTATTTTTTTTATTTTTTATTTACACGCGCCTTGCGAAGACGAACCAATTTGTAACCTCGTCAATTGCAGACCTCATCTCGGAGTCCTGTAGCTCAGTTGTTAGAGCACTTGCCTCGCAAGCGAGAGGCATGCGTTCGATTCCCGGCAGGGCAAAACCTTGGGCAAGTTTCCTTACTCCACACGCCTGATAATAATCCCTCAAAGTTTACAAAAAATAATAATTTGGTCACTCAATCCACGACTGTTTGTGGACTGACTGTATCCTTGCCCACAAATATACACTTTGCAGTATATTCCGTGAAGCGCTTTGAGACTAGAAAACATGATAAGGTGTTATATCAAATACAAGGATTATTATTAATTTTATCTGATATCTTTCAATTTGAGTTATCTCCCTCCTCTCTTATTCCCCACCAGTTTACCATTCCACTTCTGATGTAACTTGACATTTGTTGCCCTTTCACCTCCTTCCCTGTAGCTCCAGTGTGGAAGGAAGGCATCAAACTTGAGGTTAGGAGGTAAATTGAGAACTCAGAATGGCCTGTATTGAGTTTCCTTCGGTGCAGAGTTCAGTGCATTACTGTGTACATTCTCTAACAGTACAATCAAAAGAAAATACTCCCATTTCCTTGCTATTTAAGGTTCACCCACTAACCTTCAGGAACATAAATAGTCCCAAACAGAAATTACCTCCAAACACACAGCCACTACACTTGACAGTAATTACTTGTGAAGTGCTTTGAGGCGTTTCTACCGTTGAGGCGTGGTATCAAGCTCAAGAATTATTTATTTTGAGACCTCTGCAAAGGGTAGCGCTATAAATTTTGTAAGCAAACGCGACAGCCAATTTTGTGCACAGCGACGTCCCACAAACAGCCACAAATCGAGTGACCAATTTTTTTAATCTGGAGAATTGTTGGTCAGGACACCAGGAGAAATCACACACACACACACAAACATACATACAAACATACATACATGCGTATAAACTAATACACATTCAATTGGCAATCATCATTTTTGCAAGCACAAAAACACAATATTTAGTGTTTTGCCCACAAAATACAGTCAAACCACTTTACAATATATTCTGCGAAGCGCTTTGAAACGTCTCAACTGCGTGATAAGGCACAACATCAGATGCAAGAATTATTATTATTTGTATTATTATTATTATTATAAGGCATTTGTCCAGATACAGGGACAAGCAATTGATCTGTGTGTGGGTGCGTGCTGTGTGTGTGTGTGTGTGTGAGATTTTAATGAACAGTTTTTGTGGAGCGATAGGTACTGGGAGGAGACTATAAAACCATACAATCTAGGTTGCCTTTCTTCCTAAAGAATCCCAATCACGCCCAGGTCAGGACCGTGAAGAATCCAGGGGAAGGCTCAGGGTTGCTGTTAATAGCGAGGAATCTGCTAATCCGACCAGCAGTTGCAGATGCCTTTCGGCACTTTACATCTACACAGCACCAACAATGCCGCCGATTTGCTGCATCCCATCACCATCCACATTCGAACCTTGCTCAGCCATTGCCACCCAAAGCAACCCTTGAGAGGTTAATAATAATAGCCCTTGCATTTGATACAGCGCCTTATCACCACTTTGAGACGTCTCAAAGCGCTTCACAGAATATACTGTTAAGTGAATTGACTGCATATTTTGCGGACAGAACGCAGCAGCCAATTGTGCACAGCAACGTCCCCACAAACAGTCATGATTGAGTGACCAAATTTATTATTTTTGAAGGTATGATTACTCCCAGAAAAGTGGTCCGCCAATTGACTAACAACCGGGTTCCCACTTACTGTTAGGCAAATAGAGGCGCGAGGAGTAAGGAAATTTGGAAGCGGGCAGATTGATAGGGAGAGCAAGACCATGGAGGGCTTTGAAAGTGAGGACCAGGATCTTGAACTATATCCTCTGTGTGATGGGAAGCCAGTTGAGTCGGGCGAGGATAGGGGTGAGAGGGTTGCGGAGCCTAGTACGGGAGAGGACAGACTGCAGAGTTTTGGATGATCTGTAGCCTGTGGAGGGAGGAGTTGGGGAGGCCGACAAACGGGGATTTTGTGTAGTTGAGTCTGGATGCTGTGAATGCGTGTATGAAGGTCTTGGTGTGAGACAGTGGCGGAGCCGAGTGATGTTGCAGAGTTGGGGAAAGGCAGAGCGGGTCATGGCAAGGATGTGGGTTTATGAAGGACAGTTGAGGGTCAAACAGGACGCCAAGGTTCTGTACTGGCTCTGTGAGATGTAGTGTGCATCCATGGAGGGAGATGCTGTCAGCGACCCAGGTTTGGAGGTGCTGACGGGAGCCAAGCAGGAGGGCCTCCAGCACAGCACAAGGGCGTTAGCTTGGACTGTGAGTTCAAAGTCCTCCCGACATGTGGGGGGACTTGAACCCGCAACTTTCTGGCTCAGAGGTGAGAGTGCTGCTGACTGTGCCAGGCTGACACAACTTGTCAACGCGAGGAAACAGAATCTGACTGAGGCTTTGAACAGCTATGGTGAGCCGTGACCTCCGCTGGTTTATTAATAGGACGACCGGAGTCCAGAGGGAGCCCCAACAGGTTGATTTGGACGCTGTCCACTCTCCGCAGCAAAACCGTTACCCTCAGGAACGCAGACGGCTGGCCGCTTGCACACCACACATTCCACTCTTGTCAGAATCCTTTAAGCTCAAGCGGGTTTTCCCTCCCGTTGCTATTTATACCGAGCTGATTTGTGCTGCTATATTCTAACCAAGTTACAGACGGGATTAATTCAAAGCCTTTCACTTGTCTCGATGGAAGGGCGCTGTAAGAGCTTCCTTTCCGACTGGGCCTTTGGTCAACATTTCTCTCTCCCCCCACCCTCCCAATACGCACACACACACACAGACACACACAGCCCGTGGCTTCAAGACATCCTCCTGACACAATATCACATGCAAAGCTCTGTCACCATTTGCCGACCTTGGCACCACTCGGCAGGAACGATTAATTCGCTGTCACAAGCCAGGGTTCGGGTTTTGGGGAGCCGAGGAGGTCGAACAACGATAATAATCCTTGCGTTCTACACAGTCTCCTGGTCGTGTCGTCGGAACGCCCGGAGGCTCAGCCAAGAATTTTGTTTTTCCGCCGAAGTGTAGTGACTGTGTAACTGCTGGTGCGACCTCTCTGCTCGAGCAGCGGCGGCTGACAGGCAGGCTCAGCGTGACCATCAGCTGCCTCGACGACGTGGCAGCCTGACAGGAGTGCAGAATGACTCTCCATCTGTCTCGTTCCTCCTCCTCCCCCTCCTCCCCCCTTCCCCCTGGGACCAAATCCTCGCCGCGGCAAATGGAAGGAGTTTAAAAAAAAATGACTACATGAATGGCCGACTTCTGGGTCGTCAGCTCATCATGATATCACTTCCTGCAGACACAGTAGACGGACTTGTGTTTCACCGTCGCTGCTGGGAGATGGGATTGAGTTGCGCTGTCCTGTTTGCCAGGTTCCAACCCGGTGTGGCCTTCGCTCAAATAGCGTCACCTGGTGGAAACAACGAAGAGCTTGGATGAGCAATTCCAACCGTTCCAAAACATAATCTCCCTCCCAACCCCTCCACCCCCCTCCCCCCCACCACCGCCAACGCCACCGCCAGACACCTCAGTTAACGATAATGTAATAATAATCCTTGCATTTGGTACAGAGCCTTATCGCGACTTCGAGACTTCTCGAAGTCCTTCACAGAATATACTGTAAAATGAATTCACCGTATATTTTGTGGGCGAAAGCGGCCGCCTGTGGCGCACAGTTTCCTCGTGTGTTTTGGGGATTTCACCGTGGATTGAGCGAGCAAACTATTATTATATTTTTGTTTCTGAAGGGATTGTTACCCGCGGAACAGCGATCCGCCAATCAACTAACAACCGGGTTCTTACTTACTGCGAGGTAAACGGAGGTATGTGACGTAAGGAAACTTGCCCAACGTTTTGTCCTGCCGAGAGATCAAACCCTGGTCCTCTCGCTTGCGAGGCGAGTGCTCTAACCACTGAGCTACAAGTTAAAAGTTAATAGGTTTCACCTACTTCACAAGGTAGTCTGTTTAACCACCTACTTTGTAAAATGTTTCCACTGCCAACCGTTTTGAGTTCTGATGAAAAGACATTATAATAGTGACAATATCATTAAATATTATCGCAAAGAAACAAATAGACTGTGCACGTCGTATTATTGATGTGGCTATTCCCAAGTGATTACAACGGGAAAAGAATTACATTGCAATCGCTTTGCAATCGGACGTGTCAGACCGGATTTATTCAGCGCACATCGCTGCGGTGCTGTGCGAGAGAAGCTTTGTGCGAGGCAGGTACGGAATTCATTCGTATTTCCAGAGTCCAGTGAATGCTCACGCCTGACACCTTGTAAATGGTGAATTTCCTGGGTAAACCACTTCTAATAATAACAATAATCCTCGCATTTGATGCAGCGCTTTTCACGTCGGGAGGACATCCCAAAGCGCTTCACAGAACACACTGTAAAGTGAATTGACTGTATATTTGTGGGCGAACACGGCAGCCAATGGCGCACAGCAATGTCCCACAAACAGTCGTAGATTGAAAATGACCAATTTATTATTGTTTTTGGTTTTGGAGGGATTATTATTAGTCTCTGTGTGGAGTAAGGAAACTTGCCCAAGGTTTCGCCCTCTGCCTGGAATTGAACTCAGGTCTCTCACTTGCAAAGCGAGTGCTCTAACCACTGAGCGACAGGAACTCCACATTTCTATTTCATCAAAAGTTCTTGTTTCTTTTATAAAAAAAAACCCCGGAAGTCGCCGCGGAAACACTCGGCAGATCGGGCAGCATCTACGGAGAGAGGAAAGCGAGTCAACGTTTCGGGTCCGTGACCCTTCGGCGGCGCCGAAGGGTCACGGACCCGAAACGTTGACTCGCTTTCCTCTCTCCGTAGATGCTGCCGAGTGTTTCCCCGATGACTTCGGTCTCGGTTTCGGATTTCCAGCCGCCGCTGTATGGTTTGGGGGCACTTTGTCGAGGTTCGGCCGCTCTGATGCCGCCCCAATACCGAGGCGGCGCCCGACGTTGGGGCGACCTCTATCGAGGGCAAGGACGGCGTCCGGTGGGTGGCCCTTTCGGGGGGGGCCGCACGGGGAGTTTCGTTTTCTGGCCGTCCTGCGGCAGGGGGCGCTGTGACGGCTCGGGGGGGGGTGGTTGGTAGGGGGCGCTGTGAGGGTTGGGAGGCGGTGGTAGGGGGCGCTGTGATTGCTGGGCGATGGTGGTAGGGGGCGCTGTGTCGGTTCGGCGGAGGTGGTTGGTAGGGGGCGCTGTGAGGGCTGGGAGGTGGTGGTAGGGGGCGCTGTGAGGGTTGGCGGAGGTTGGTAGGGGGCGCTGTGATTGCTGGGCGATGGTGGTAGGGGGCGCTGTGATTGCTGGGCGGTGGTGGTAGGGGGCGCTGTGAGGGCTGGGAGGTGGTTGGTAGGGGGCGCTGTGATTGCTGGGCGGTGGTGGTAGGGGGCGCTGTGATTGCTGGGAGGTGGTTGCTAGGGGGCGCTGTGAGGGCTGGGAGGTGGTTGGTAGGGGGCGCTGTGATTGCTGGGAGGTGGTTGGTAGGGGGCGCTGTGACGGTTGGGTAGTGGTGGCAGTGGGCGCTGTGATTGCTGGGAGGTGGTTGCTAGGGGGCGCTGTGATTGCTGGGAGGTGGTTGCTAGGGGTCGCTGTGATTGCTGGGAGGTGGTTGCTAGGGGGCGCTGTGATTGCTGGGCGGAGGTTGGCAGTGGGCGCTGTGATTGCTGGGAGGCGGTGGTAGGGGGCGCTGTGACCGCTGGGAGGCGGTGGCAGTGAGGCTCAGGCACGTCCCGCCGCCGCCGCCGCCGCCGCTCACCGCGTAAAATCCCGGTAAAATGTAGGCCAAACCCGCGGCTCCACACCTGACACAGGGCCTCTCCTCTCCTCTCCGCTCTCTCTCTCTCTCTCTCTGGGTCGGTATGTTTAGAGGCACTTGTTGTTGTGACTGTGAAGCGCTGGGGGGGGGCTAACCCCGGGGGGGTAACCCCGGGGGGGGGGGGCTGACCCCGGGGGGGGGGAGGGGGGGGCTAACCCCGGGGGGGGGTGACCCGGGGGGGGGGGGTAACCCCGGGGGGGGGGGTATAGACATGCAAGTTGTTGTTGTTGCTGTTGTGGACAAAGCCCCAGTGACTGATCTGCGCTTCCAGGTCCTGTGACTGAGCCCACGTTGGGCTGCGTTGGCATCAGCTGTGCCCCCACCCCCCGCCCCCACCCCTCACCGGCTCAGGACCGTCACACAGTGGCACCGGCCCGAGTCCCGCAATCCGTTGCCAAACAAACGTGGCCAAAAAATGGGAGTCCAGTAGCTCAGGTTAGAGACCGCAAAGCGAGAGGGACCGGGTTCGATTCCCGACCGAGACACACACACACACACACACACACAGATACACAGACACTCACACACACACACACACAGATACACAGACACTCACACACACACACACACACACACAGATACACAGACACTCACACACACACAGATACACAGACACTCACACACACACAGATACACAGACACTCACACAGACACACACACACACACAGATACACAGACACACACACACACACAGATACACAGACACTCACACACACACACACAGATACACAGACACTCACACACACACAGATACACACACACACAGACACTCACACAGATACACAGACACTCACACACACACACACACAGATACACACACACACACAGACACACACACACAGACACACAGACACACACACACAGACACACACACACAGATACACAGACACTCACACTCACACACACAGATACACACACACACACACAGATACACACACACACAGACACTCACACAGATACACAGACACTCACACACACACACGCACACAGATACACACACACACACACACACAGACACTCACAGATACACAGACACTCACACACACACACGCACACAGATACACAGACACTCACACATACACAGACACTCACACACACACACACACAGACACTCACACAGACACACACACACAGATACACAGACACTCACACACACACACAGATACACAGATACTCACACACACACACACAGACACACACACACGCACACAGATACACAGACACTCACACACACACATACACAGACACTCACACACACACACACACACACATACACAGACACTCACACACACACACACAGACACTCACACAGACACACACACACAGATACACAGACACTCACACACACACGCACACACACACAGATACACAGATACTCACACACACACACACACACACACACAGATACACAGACACACACACACACACACACACACAGATACACAGACACACACACACACAGATACACAGACACTCACACACACACACACACAGATACACAGACACACACACACACACACACAGATACACAGACACACACACACACACACACACACACACACACACATACACAGACACACACACACACAGATACACAGACACACACACACACACACACAGATACACACACACACAGATACACACACACACAGACACAGATACACAGACACACACACACACAGGCAGACGCACTCACACGGACAACACACAGACGCACACTCGCCTGATAATAATCCCACAAGAAAAAAATAATAATAAATACAACAAGATTACATTTGTATAAATTGGTCACTTCAATCCACCACTGTTTGTGGGACGCTGCTGTGCGCAATAGGCCGCGCCTGTATTGCCCACAAAATATACAGTCAATTCACTTTACAGTACACACATTTTGAGACATCTTGAAGATGTGAAAAGGCGCTATATCAAAAGCAAGGATTATTATTATATATATATGTCACCTTGGAGCCACTTCCCACCCCTCCTTCCCCAGGATGATAATATTAATAATAATAACCCTCTCATCAGATATACCGACCATTATCGAGATGCCTCAAAGCTCTCTCCGCAGGGTTTATAATAATCACAACAGTAATAATCCTTGCATTTGATATAGTGCCTCATCACGCTGGTCTCCCCAAAGCACTTCACAGAATATACTGTAAAGTGCTTTGACGACTGTGTTTTGTGAGCCATTTACTGTAAAGTAAAGCGCTACGATTGTGTGTTTCATCCCCTAAATAGCCACAAAGTCGGTTACCAGTTTTATCGGGACATTGGGGTGGGAGAAACTTCCCTTCTCAGTTCAAATAGTGCCGCAGGATCTTTTAACGTCCAACTGGATAGGCACAGGTAGGGACCTCAAGGTCTCATCCTAAGGATGGTAACTTCAACAATAAGGTGCTCTTCTCACCTCTTATGTCTTGGAACACAAGAATAAATTATTCTGTAACAAATAGAAATCTAGGATTATATTCCACCAAATAATCTAGGATTATATTCTCAACGTGAAAGGCACTATATAATAATTTGTAAATTTGTTGTTGTATATTGCTTTCTATTTTGGTTATTGGCAGTGACGGTTTCTTGTTTACCCTGATACAGATACAACATTGATATACCAAACCTTAGATATAAATTCTTTTTGCAGGTTTATCAGACCTGTTGATATTGAAGGCTGCAAAAGATGCCTGTGCTCACAGTTTATTAAACCCAAGGCCAAGAATGGAGAATTTGTATGCGGAGGAAGAGGTGACAAAAGCCTTTGAGAAGCTGTACAGAGAGACTTCAGACTATTCAGACAAAGATGACCATTCAGATACAACTGAAAGTACAAAGGTCAACCACAAGTTACCACAAGATGGTCAGGCAGAGAGAACGAAATCTGGTGGTGTGCATTGTCAGACCGGTAATGAAACTGATGCTAACGCTGTGGTCTACATAGAAACTGACAACAATCAAGTAAAGGGAGAAACTCACAGAAATGGAATGGTGGCAGTGCCTTCTACTGTCGACATGGCAATGAAAGAGGAAGGCTGCACCCTTTCATTCTCTCAAATTCTCCAGTTTGTGCAAAATGGGCAGGAAATCCCAGGCACTCGCAACCTGGACATTATCCCGAACAACCTACCCCTCACCGTCTCCCAAATGGCAAGGAAGCATAAACCGTGGGAGACCGCCTAATGTTTCCAACCACGTGGAGCTTTGTTTGGAGACATTTATCAAAAAACAGACTCACAACGTTATCACTTTTACATTTTCTGTGATTTCTAATGAACGCGAAGAGCATGGTAGCGGAATTCTGAGAGAACAGGCAGAAGGCAGCGTTTGCAATCATTGTCTCAGTCATTGTCAATCGCTCCGGGACACAAACCCCACGTGAAGGGCGCTGTGAAAGCTGTGGAGTCCTGTAGCTCAGTGCTTAAGAGCACTCGCCTTGCAAGCGAGGGACTTGGGTTCGATTCCCGGCAGGGAAGTTTCCCTGCTCCACACGCCTGATAATGAATCCATCGAAAAAAAAACAATAAATTGGTCACTTCAATCCATGGCTGTTTGTGGGACGCTGCTGTGCGCGATTGGCTGCCGCACTTCGCCCACAAGTATACGGTCAATTCAATTTACAGTATATTCTGTCAAGTGCTTTGAGACGTTCTCAAAGACGTGAAAAGCGCTATATCAAATGCAAGGATTGGTACTATTATTATAAATGCAAGTTGTTATCGTATCAACCCACATCATTTCAATGGCAGTTTTCAGTGCCTCTGAATACAGGGCAGCACTTCATTGAGGAGGAAAAAGTGCACCTTTGGTAACTGAACGTCAGAGGCACATTGACGGTGACCGGGGAAACGGTTGTAACAGCTCATTTGGTCTCGGCTGAAGAAGTACCAAGCTTGTCAATAGTGGGTGCTACAGCACTGGTGATTCACAGCGAGAGTTAAATAACCTGCTAACATCTACATGAGTCAGGGTTTTATTTACATGGAATAGTTTTTTTTTGCTAGCACTAATTTAAGTTCCACATCATCCTACAGGATTAGGTACAACATTCTCTTCATTTTGTATTGAAATAAACCAATTTGACTAAACTAGTTTGATCCCTTTGTTTATTCTCGTTGTTAAAGGCTTGATATTGTCTGGATAATCAGACCAAATCTTTTTTGTCCTTTCAGTATTCGAGCAGCTAATTGGCTGTTATGGGAAGACTTTCACACTCACACAGTAGTTAGCGATGTACAGCGTGGGAAACAAGCACATCGTAGAATTGTACAATATGTTAATTTCAGCTTCTTGCATCTTACCCACAGACGATCCATCGGATGCTTCAACGAGGTTGTTGCTCGCTCTGACCTGCTTGTCCCTCTCCCCCTCTGTTCCACCATCGGTGGCCACGCTTTCAGCCACTACGCTTCGAAATGTTCTCCAACTAGCTCCCCGCCTTGCCCCCTCCTTTCCCATCTTCAGGTCATGCCTGAAGATCTTCTTCGACCGAGCCTACAGTCGCCCCCCGGCTCAGCGTTGTGCTCTGCCATTGTCAAGCGCTCTGAGACCGTCCTGTGTGATGGGTGCTATATAAATGCTGATCATCGTAGTTATTGTAAACTATATAGTAAACATCGTTTGGAGAGGGTCATTTAAATGTATCTATCAGATTATGCCAGTTTCAGAAATGAATACAGTACAGATAAATCCATCAGTAATCAGTCCGCATCTGTATTTAAAAACTTTAATAAAACATTAGTTAATTCACTTCATGTTTTTAAGCGTATCAAAAGGAACCATGAACATGATTACCTTTACCGATTTAACCTTTACTGATATCAGCTATTCCACATCACAAATAATTCAGTCAATAACGGTTCAGAGGTGTGAAGTACACAGCATCACCTGTAAACATAAACGCACAACTTGATTTTTTTTAAAGAAAATAATCCTTGTCTTTTGATCCAGATCATTTTAAAGCACTTCACAGGTAAGTGGGATGTCCTCCCAACATGAAAGGCGTTATAGAAATGTGAGTTGTTGTGATTGCTGTCTGGCTATGGTAACTATTGTAGGCCAACCCAGAACACAACAGGACCCGAAAAGCCATTAAGTGAATTCCCAATTTATCTGGAGAACTGTTGGTCAGGGCACTGGGAGAAACTCCCTTCTCTTTTTCAATAGTGTTGTTAAGATCTTGGAACGTCCGTCTGAATAGGTCACTTAAGCGCTCCGAGGCACTGCCCCATGTGAAGGGCGCTATAGAAATGCAGGTTGTTGTCTTTGCTCAGACAACTGTTTAATGTCTCAGCCAAAGGACGGCATCTCCTGACAGTGCAGAGCACCGGACCATCAGGTCAGACCATGAGCTCAAGTCCCGACTCGGGGCTTGAACCCACAACCCATGCAGAGGTTAGCAAGTGAGCCATGCAGGCCGGCCACAATAGTAATAACAACAACAATAGTTGTAAAAAGGTTGAATAACCAGATGCCCACTGTGAAATTGGGTTCAAGTTTGTCAGAAATCACACCAAGGATATTATTAAAACATTTTATTAACAATTATAAAACCGCACAAACACATTACACCCGAAGCGTTATCATTACTCGTCGCACTTAAATGACTACTAAAGCACCATCTTAACTAAATACATGACTAAAGCACTATTTTAACAAGATACATTCAATACTAAGATTCTAAACATAGATAAAAAAAATTATGTGATATATGAAATGTGCCTAAATAATCTCTAAATTGTTTTGTATGTATGTTGGGTACGTGTTTTAGTAAGTAGGAGAGACGAAGTTCTAAGGCTGGCACAAAAGTTAAACACTGCCTCTGGCTTGCTTCTTGCTGCAACCGTCTCTCGGTGGTCCACTCCGGCAAGGGCTGAACTTGCCCTCTTCGCGGTCCGTTCTGGTGAGAGCTGGACTTGTCCTCTTTCCCTCAAAGGCACTCTTCTTCCTCTCTGTAGAGGTTTGTCCCCTTTCTCTCCTCAGAGGCTCCAAAACAACTAGTTTTTTTATATACCCTTTTTCGCCAGCCATCTGTGTTCGAACTCTCTTTTTCATGACTTCTTTCCCGTTCTCTGCACTTTTCCCAGGCATTCTTTCTCTATCTTCGAGTTATTTCTCCTTGTACCAGCTCGGATAGCTTAGGCAAAGGAACAATACTCCTCCTATTCCACCTTATCGAGCCCGACCAAACCACCTGACTCCACATCCCTGAAGTTTCAGTCCTTCCTTCAAGATCGGTCCACGTGACCTGCTCACTTTTAAGTTTTTTCTCAGTTTTAATAACTAGTTTGTATCCCATCCATTCTCCTGGTCCAATTATCCCAAGTTCCTCTCGCTCCTGCCCATAGGTCACCTGCCCTTGTAAGCGTAGATGGCCTACCATCTATCCTCCAGATCCAGCTATCCTGATCTTCCCCGGCCATGGGTCACAATTCCAGTGTACTCCCCCAAGCTCGGTGCCTCTTTACTAGGACTGTGTGTGTGTCATACGGCAGTTTTTATTTCCTTAATTCATTCTACTTAACTCACCTAATTCACTACATGATCAATACTAATGATTCTTATACTATAATCCCAACTATTTACACCACGTGAACCACTGTGACTTGCATGCATTGAATGGCTAACCTGCAGCACGGCTAAGCTCTGTTTAAACAAAACACAACGGAAATCTTTGGCTATTTCAAACATTAGAAAACATTTGATATTAAAAAAAACGCATTCCACGACAAAATAAAAAATTCAAAGTACATATTGAGAAAAAAAATTGAAATGAAATAACATGTAGACTGACTTATGAATTTATATTCAAGCCAGATACAGAGATGAGACACAATTTAGAGACAAGACAATTATTTACAAACACAATCATTTGTTTCATTACTATAATTTAATTGCAGATGTCTTGTTTCTAAACCAAAGCACCCCTTTTCCCCTTGGATTTGACATGCTCTCCCCGCGCCCCCCTCCCCACCCCCACCACCGTTTTAAATTACAAGTTAAACATCCGAATAGAGTGGCTGAACTCTTCTTCCTCAAATCGTTTCAACGCGGTTTTTGAAAAGTGCTTCTAAAACACTTTCATCTGCAAGGGTGGAAGTGTTTCCGAGGTCCCTCTCGTTACGGGCGATCTTCCTCAGAAGACGTCTCATGATTTTACCTTGAAGGCAAGGAGGCATAATGTTTGGTAAAGCTCGGAACAAACTGGTCGAATTTTACCTTGTAAGAATGGACAACAGTGAACGAACAAACAAACGAGAGTACCATACCAGAACGGGTTTTGGGCAGTTGAGCGGCATTCTGTATATAGTCCGGGGCTGCGATGGGTCCGATTTTTTTCCGTACTGTAATAATTCACAAGAAAAAAAAAGTATTCAAAGTTGACGTCAAGAACATTTTTTATTTTTTGTAGAACGTTTCATTAGCCATTTTCCCTAATGACGTTTCTCAGAGAAATTATACACTGTTAGAACTCCCCGCTCATCTCTCTCCCCTCCTTCCCCCGCCCTCCCCCCACCCAATACCTATCCAATTCCCTTTTGAAATTAGTCCCACTCCCCTGCTCTTTCCCAATAGCCTTGCAACTTTTTCCTTTTCAAGTATCCATCCAATTCCTCTTTGAAACTTATTCCTGCCCCCGCCAATACCTTGGTTTTTCAGTTCAGTGACCAGTTCATCGGTAAATTCATGTCCATCTTTCAGAGTGACAAAACAATAAAGCGACTCTCCTTTCACTGGGTGTGGGTGACTCACAGCAGCCACCTCCGCGACAGCAAGATGTTCCATTATAGCAGATTCCACTTCAGCAGTGCTCAGGAGGTGTCCTGAGAATAAGGCAAACAGTGACTGCATCAGAATGTGGAGTCCTGTGGCTTTGTGGTTAGAGCGTTCGTCTCGTAAAGCGAGAAGGCCCGGGGTTTGATTCCCAGGCGGCGCAAAACCTTAGGCAAGTTTCCTTATTCCACACTCCTCTATTTACCTGGCAGCAAGTAGGTGCCCGGTTGTTAGTCGATTGGCAGATTGCTTTACAGGGGTAATAATCCCTCCCAAAAAAATTAATAATTTAGTCACGCAATTCACAACTGCTTGTGGGACACTGGTGTGCATAGTTGGCTGGCGCGTTTCACACACAAAATACACAGTGAATCCACTTTATAACACATTCTGTGAAGTGCTTTGGGGTGATGAGATAATGCCCTGTATTAAATGCAAGGATTATTATCATCAACAACAACTTGCATCTATATAGTACCCTCACATAGGGACAGGTTACAAATTCTGGCCCAAACTGAAATTGGGAATGATAATAAATTCACGTTGGGTTCCTAATGCAGTGCAGCAAGGCGATAAAAGTTCTGTTTAGCAACGAACATTCTTCATCTGCGGACCTGACGTTTGTGCTGAAAGCTCACCCGATATATTCAGCATGTCGTCAATCCTTCCAGTAATCCAATAGTAACCATCTTTGTCTCTCTTGCAGCCTGACAGCACGATCCAGGAGAAAGAATACATAACCGTAAGGTGCACAAGTTTAAGATTGTTGTGGTTGCCTCACTCAAACCGACTGCTGGGTTTCCCTGTAACTACATTTGACAGCAATTGCCTGTGAAACATTTTCAGTGGCGTCTGGTTTTATTGATGCCACATCAAATGCAAGGATTATTTTTATCATTTGGATTTTTTTTAAATTTTCTTAGTGAATTTTTATTTCCTGTTGCAGATGAGTCGAGTGGAACAACATCTGATACCAGCAACTTCCTCCGCAATCACTCGACCCTTATTAACCGAAGAGGTGGCACTCAATATAGCAACAGATAACATTATCTGACATTAAAACAATGGCCCTCACTCACTCACACACCGATCCTCTGGACCTCGAAACAGTTAAACACTTGCACTGAACACAATTAAGTTATCATCATTCTTCCACATGTTTCAGTTGTTGGTCAGCGCACTGTGTAAAAAAACATGGGATTAAAAGCACTCTGTGAACAGATCAATTGATGTTTGTAACTGTGTGTGTCAGACATCCGGGCAAAGAAGAAAGGGGGAAAAAAAAACTTACCATCTCCTGTGACAAAATAACCGGGAAACCTTTTAAAGTAGCTGCTCTCAAATCGCTCGTAGCTGCCATAAACTTCCCGCATGATGGACGGCCAGGGTTTCTTGAATACCTGCGCAAGATGCGATCCAAGGGAAGGCTTAAAATTCTGACAAGAGCGACAGAGAGGAACGCGAGCATTTGAAGCTAGGCATTTTAAGGGACACAAATACTGTGCTCACTCATTCAATCAATGTGAGTTTGCTTTCACTGGAAACATCTGGGGTTATGTCAGTGTGCATCAGGCCATTCATCTGTCATCTGTTAACTGGTTTAACCTCGAATTCTGGGGCGGATTTCAATAACAGCAGAAGCAAGCACACATTTTAATGCAGACGCCAGGAAGCATCTGGACTAGAAAACACAAGTCACTCCAATCTGCAGTGTATCCCTGTGAAGCACTTTGAGACGTCCCCTGATGTGAAAGTCCCTGTATCAAATGTGAGGGTAATTATTAATTTTTTTAATTATTTTCTCTTTGCAGAGGGCAATTAACAGCTGGAGCGAGCAGATTCTGGCCGGCCAGAGTGAGATGGAGGGTGGGAGACGCTGCAAGGATCAGATAGAATGGGCCGAATGGGCCTTCTTCATATCATCCGAACAGCTTGTGATAGTGTGAATTGCTTATTGTACAGCACCATCAGTTGGCTGGAAGGCACCTCTGGAGTCATTTATTTTGGAAAAAGCTAAGCAAAATCTACAGGGTAAAACCTGAGGGATTCAGAGAATCAACGAGATTCACAGGGCAGAAGGAGGCTGTTCGGCCCAGCGAGTCCGCATTAGGTTTCAGAGCAAGATGTTCATTCATTCACACACCACCCCCCGCCTCTCTCCTCATCCCCATTGCCCCCCCTCTCTCCCCACCGCCCCCCACCTCTCTCTCCCCAAACCCCCCTCTCTCCAACACCCCCTTTCCCCAACCCCACCGCCCCCTCTATCCCCACACGCCCCCCTCTATCCCCACACGCCCTCCTCTATCCCCACACGTCCACCCTCTATCCCCATGCCTGCTCTCTCCCCACACATCCCCTTCTTACCAGATAACCTTCTGCTTCCCCTTCCAGCTCCTCTCCCGATTCACTGAGAATAGCCGGGACCACACTAAAAAAGGGAAGAGTCTGAAAATGCAAACAACGCCTTTATTATCATGGGTTCCCGTTGCACGCACAATAACATTAGTCGTTCACTTCGTGCCTGTTTGTGAGATACAGTCCTGATGTGCGCAAACTTACTGCTGCACTTGGCTGCAAAATACCCAGTCATCACACTTTGCAGTAAAATCTTGTGCAAGTGCTTCGGGAGGTCACAGCAACGTGATAAGGTGCTCAATCAAATACAAGGATTATTATCAATATTATTATCATCATTTCTTCTTTCGCGTTTCCCAGTCTTTATCAACCACAATTATACAGTCAGTTCACCTTACAGTATATTCTGTGAAGCGCTTTGAGACGTCTCGAAGACGTGATAAGGCGCTACATCAAAGGCAATGATTATTATTATTATTATTTACTTGCTCCTACAATCTACAGACCTTTTCAAAATCATTTTGTCACTGATTCTTAAATCAGCTGATCCTTCCTGTTCATTCTGATCGTGTGGGCTCTCGCCCTCTTTCACCTTTGTGCTCCGCCTTGCCATAAATGAACGCAATTTGTTGTTGTTGTTGATGTTCAGAAAGGGAGCACATTAACAGCATCTTCCATTTACAACAGAAGAAGAAAGGAAGGAAGGAACAATAACAACACATTTGTAAAGCGCCTTTCACGTCGGGAGGACATCCCAAGGCACTGAACAGTCAGGGTTGAGGACCCGAGCGTGGCGTAGGTGGGGCAGGGATGGGGTGAGGGAGGGCAGAGAGGTAGGAGGGCGGCTGACTCGTGTCTTGAAGGAGGCAAAGAAGGGAGCGAGGCGAAGGGATTGTGGGATGGAGTTGCAAAGGGGAAGAAGGAAAGAGGCAAGAAGGAAGGAACGGAGTAAAATCTGCCCTCGAAATCACACTTATTCAATGTCCGGCTACAGATTAGTTACACACAAAGGTAAGAGTTCCACGCAGTCACAGAGTTCTACCTACCGCTGAGCCTGGCTTCAGTGGGGTAACAGCTGGGAGAGGAGTGAGCATGTGACCGCCCTGCAACCAGAGGAACGCGATGAGATATGCAAACCACATGGACAGGCAACTACTGCAAACCCACCCCCCCCACACCGCACACCCTCCGTTATAACCCGCCAACCTGGCCCCCGATAATTACTTCCCCCACCCTCCAATCCCCAAATCCGCGAGCTGGCTCCACCGCTGCTTGCATCATTCAACAAAGCCGAAATGTTACACATCTAAAGTTTACTTACAGTTTCAGTCTGCCAATAGGTGTCCATAATTGGACATCTCCTGTCACCCACCACATTGTAGTACCACAGCCAAGCCTCGGGGTTAATGGGCTCGCCCACTGTACCAAGGATTTTCAAAGATTTCCGACTGAACCTGTCAGGGGCGGGAAAACAGAAATCCCAATAGTAAAAGCTCACAACTCCAAACTTGTCACAGCAATCAGAAATTTTCCACTTTCTTTGAGAAGAAATCAGACCATTCCTTTTTACACAGCTGTAAATTAAGGCGCATGAGCGAGCGAGAGATCAAGGGAGCGAGCGAGTGAGAGGGTTCGATTCCCGGGTCAGGGCAAAACCTTAGGCAAGTTTCCTTACTCCACACGCCTCAGTTTACCTAGCAGTAATTAGGAACCCGGCTGTTAGTCGATTGGCGGATTGCTTTCCGGGGGTAATAATCCCACCTCCCAAAAAAATAATTTGGCCACTCAATCCACGACTGTTCGTGAGACGCTGCTGTATGCAATTGGCTGCTGCATTTCTCCCACAAAATAGTCAATCCACTTTACAATATGTTCTGTGAAGCGTTTCAACAACTGTGTTTTCTTGAAAGGGTAAACAGAAGCCCTATTTACATAGCTACATACATTTCCTTGGGCACCAACTATGATGTGCGATAGAGCAGCTCGAGTGAAACAAGAGGAAACTAAACCAATCGCCATAAGTTAGTGTTTAAACACCTCTCTCTCACCTTTTGACTGGCTCGTCACCATATTTCATGAGCAATCGAATGGCAGTTGGAGCAGTGTAAAACTTTGTCACCAGGTATTTGTCGATTATCTCCCAGAATCGGCTCACATCTGGATAAGTCGGCACTCCTTCAAACTGGGAAGAAAAAAGAAAAGTGTTAAAACAAGTCACATCTCGCCTCAGTTTTACAAAACAAAGTTTGTTTCAAGGCATCCGATAAAAATTGGTCACTTGTTTCATGGCCGTTTGTGGGACATTGCTATCATCTTTGCCTAAAAAAATACACAGTCACTACACTTTATAGTACATCCTGACAGATCGACGTAAAAGGCAATATATCAAACACAAGGCATATTATAATAAGAACAATAAAATAATAATAATCTTTGCATTTGTGGAGTCCTGTAGCTCAGTGGTTAGAGCACTCGCTTTGCAAGTGAGAGACCTGAGTTCAATTCCAGGCAGAGGGCGAAACCTTGGGCAAGTTTCCTTACTCCACACAGAGCCTAATAATAATCCCTCCAAAACAAAAAACAATAATAAATTGGTCATTTTCAATCTACGACTGTTTGTGGGACATTGCTGTGCGCAATTGGCTGCCGCGTTCGCCCACAAATATACAGTCAATTCACTTTACAGTGTGTTCTGTGAAGCGCTTTGGGACGTCCTCCCGACGTGAAAAGCGCTATATCAAATGCAAGGATTATTATTATTATTATTATTATCATGTTGTTGAGACGTCTCAAAGCACTTCACAGAATATATCGTAAAGTGGTTTGACTTGTGTATTTTGTGGGTGAAACGTGGCAGCCAATTATTTATTATTATTATTATTGTTGTTGTTCTCTCACTTTGACCGTGTGTTTGGCCAACGCCCAGCTATTCAACAACGACGACAAAATTACATTTATAGAGTCTTTCACGTCGGGAGGACGACCCAAGGCACTGGACAGACAGTTTCAGACCCGAGCTGAGGGCTGGGGTGGGGGAGGAGGGAGGGCGGGGGGGGGGGAAAGCAGGGAGATTGAAAGCACGGTCGAAGAGGAGGGTCTTGAGGTGGGTCTTGAAGGTGGTGAGGGAGAGACGGAAGGATTGCGGGATGGAGTTCCAGAGGGTGGGTGCAGAGTTGCGGAAGGCCCGCCCACCGATAGTGTGGCGAGCAAGGTGGGGATGTGAAGCAGACCGGAGCCCGCTGACGAGGAAATTGAACAGGATGGTAGGGGGTTAGGAGATAGCAGAGCTCGGGGGAAGCAAGATCGTGGAGGGCTTTGAAGGTGCGGACCAGGATCTTGAACTGTATTCTCTGTGTGATGGGAAGCCAGTGGAGTTGGGTGAAGATGGGGGTGATAGGGTCACCGAGCCTAGTGCGGGAAAGGACATGGGCTGCAGAGCTCTGGATGATCTGTAGCCTGTCGAGGGAGGAGTTGGGGAGGCCGACAAGCATAGTCTAGCCTCAGTGTAATGAAGGCGTGTATGAGGGTTTGGGTGGCCTGCGGTGTGAGACATTCCTCTCCTCCTGGCTCAGTTATTGCCATTGTTGTTGTGAAGCAGCCCAGTGTTTGCCGAGCAGCCGAGACACTAACCAGAACACTAGTTGCGCCATTGGCCAGGGGTCCGTACGTGAGGTAAGAGTGTCCAGTGATCCATCCCACGTCAGCTGTGCACCAGTATACATCGCTGGGCTGGTAGTCAAACACATACTTAAAGGTTGTAGCCGTATAAAGGAGGTAGCCGCCAATTGTGTGCTTCACACCCTTTAAGAAAACAAAGATTTTAAGGTAGACTTCACAATAATGGCTCACAATGGATTTGGGTGAGGAAGAAAGACCTTTTGGCCTTACTCCACACGCCTGGTTACCTAGCAGTAAGTAGGAACCCGGTTGTTAGACGACTGGCGGCTTGCTTTCCGGGGGTAATAATAACAGCATTGAGCTGTTTTTTTTATGTAAATGAGTCCAGGTGAGACAGAACGAAAAGGGATTAGGGGGGTGGGAACTGAAGCCTCAAACACTCACGGTGGTGCGGAGAAGGCCGCGTGATGCCTGTGTTAAGTGAACAGAGGAATAGGAAAGGTCGGAGAGATAGGGAGGTGCCAGGGAGTGGAGGGATTTACTATCTAGGAGAAGGCTTTACCTTGGGTTTGCCGGTGGACCCACTGGTGTACAGGATAAATAGAGGATCCTCAGCGCTGCACCATTCGGGCTCACACTCCTCACCGGCTTCCTTCATCACCTCGTGCCACCAAACGTCAACCTCCTCGTTCCAGGGAATCTGCAACATGCAGAGACCAGTGTTACTGCACTTAAAGGTGGAAAACTCCAATACCCGGCCAGCACTTTGAAGGCTTTAAAACAAAATAAAAACTCAAATTAAGAGCAAAGAAACTTCACTCCACCGTAAATCAGAAATTTCATTTTCACGTTCAGCCTATCTGCCTCGGGGTCAGCCTGACCCAGGGGCCACACTCTCTCCTCTCGGTCAGAAGGTTGTATGTTCAAGTCCCACGTCGGACTTGCATTCACGTAGGTCTAAGCTGACGCTCCAATGCAGTGCTGGTGGTTTGTCGCATTGTTGGAGGTGGCGTCCTTCGGATGAGATGTTAAACCGAGATCCTATCTGCCTGTTGAGATGGACGTGAAAGATCCCATGGCACTATTCAAAAAGAGAAGGAAGTTTCTCTCTCCCGGTACCTTGGCCAACAATTTCTCAAATAAAATTGGTCACTCACTCCGTGGCTGTTTGTGGGACATTGCTGTGCGCAACTGGCTGTCATGTTTCACCCACAAAATACACAGTCCATTCGGCAGTATATCCTGTGAAGCACTTTGAGACGTCTCAACTACATTTCTCAAAGTGATAAGGCGCTATATCAAATGCAAGGATTATTATTATTTAGATATACCTCTGTTCTATTAAAAAATGAAGTAACGCAATCAATTTGGAAGAAATAAATCCTATTTAAAAGTCGCATTTAAAAGTTGCAGAATTTACCTTAACTAGTTAAATCTGACATGCAAGAGCTTGCTTAAAAGTTGTGCACCAGTGTTAGTGCCCAACAGTTACGTTAGGAATGATTCTAGTCTGCAACAGTCTATTAACTCATTAACAACAGCAACAAGCATTTATATAATGCCCTTCACACGGGGAATTCATATATCAATTTATATAAAACCCTTGGAGCTCTTAACAAGCGGAGCCTGACCTCAAAATTGGAGGAGGAGGTGACTGTAAAGAGGGGAAGGAGGCGGCAATGTGGAGGGATTGGGGAAAAGAGTTCCAAAGCTTCAGGGCTTAGTACCTGAAAGTGCGGCTGCTGATGGTGGAGGGGAGGGGACGAGACGAGTGACAAACAGGAGGCTGGAGCCAGCCGAGCGGAGGCAGCGGGTAGAAAGCAGATCAGAAAGGTAGCCAAGGGATCATACTCATGAAGTGTGCAATAATAACGAGGTGTGATATAAGCCTGTATGCAAAGACTGTCTCTCTCAGAAGGCAGTCCAAATGGTGCCTCGGAAGGCAACAGCCAAATGGGAAGGTTTAGCGGTAGCATTTAACACAAAGCACGTTAACCTCACTGGCTAGGACAGAGCGAGGTGGCAAGGCGGAGGCATTGAGGTGGAAACTGTGCGGGAATGTGGAGGTGTCAGGACCTTTGACGTGCTTTGAGAAATGTCTCTTTTTTTAAAAAAGAAAAAAAAAATCGCCCTCCTCAGAGCTGGGGGTGGTTTGATAAGTTGAGAAATTCATAGGAAGTGAGACTGCAAGAAATTGCCAGGCCGTGTGATTAGCTCAAACTGTTATAGAATGGGGGCGAGGACAATGCCAAATCACAGCGCGTGGTATCATTTCATCATACAATCTTCCCTTTTCCTTCTTCCTATTGAACTCCCACTCTAAATCAGGCCAGACTTTAGAAAGTTAGGTTAGAAACACTGTGTTGGCGAGTCATGTATATAACAGCACTGCTGTGCGCAATTGGCTGCCGCGTTTCGCCCACAAAATATACAGTCAATTCACTTTACAGTGTGTTCTGTGAAGCGCTTTGGGACGTCCTCCCGACGTGAAAAGCGCTATATCAAATGCAAGGATTATTATTATTAAGAGGACATCCAAAGGAACTGGGATGAAGACTGGTAAAAAGACTAGTTTGCATAGAATATTAGTGCAATTGGCAGGAAAGTAAATAGCAGCTACACCGAGTTACTAAGCAGTCTATCGCCACCACTAAAGTGGCTTAAAAAAGGAGCAGGGATAAGAGAGAGAGAGAGATAAGCGAAGCTCAGTTTCAAAATTGCCAGGTGCTGCAGCAAAACTGAAACTAAAATACCTGTGTTTTATGAAGCACATTCTTTGCTTTCTCATTATGATTATCCTGCAGAAAGTTCATAGATGAAAAATGTGATGTTTCAGCAAGCAGAGGTTTTCCTCTGACAAAAAAAACTTTCCCTCCCTCACACTTGCGATTCCACAAAAAATACAGCGGTAAATAAATCGGGAGTTTCAGTTACAATTAATTCATTAAAACCTCAAATAGTTTTATTTAAAATTTTATTTAAAATTAGACAGTCAGGTTTCACGACTGGAGGATACAGCGTTAAGAGGCTTTAACTGAGTCGTCAATCAGTGTCCCACGGGCTCGGAGTCAGGCTCCGCCGCAGTTAAGCGCTCTGAGACTCTATCCTGCGTGGAGGGCACTATTCAAGTGCAAGTAGTTGTTGTTGTTGAATTCCACTGCAACTTCGGAATAAAGAAGTCTCGGGGGGTGGGAGGGAGGAAATCCCTCAGAGCTCTCGATTTACAATCAACTTATCTCGAAGCGCAAAGCTTCCCTAAATAATTTCCGCTGTTCCTCACCTGTAATTTGAGGCAGGCCCGCTTTGCGGGTGGTAAATTGGATTGTGTTGAAGTTTTGTCATTTTCTTTTGTAGCTTTTAGGTGCTTCACGACAATGCACTTTTTAACAGGGCTGTGGTTCAAAGAAAGTAAGAAAAATTGAGTGCGTCTCTACATCTAAGAGATCCATTTATAGATAAACGCCCAGAATGATTCTGCGTACGTTGTACACACAACAGACTATGAGTTAACACCACCCCATTACTCTCTCTAAATAATGAAAATTTGCTCTAACAAGCTCAAATAGAGTCTGTTATAACTAGATTTACTTGGATTTGATATAAAAACGATGGGTTAATCACTATTTACAATGTTTGGCATTCCAACACAAAGCCAATTTCATCAATAAAAATATTTCAAATTTTTTTTTACCGATTTTTAATCTATTTTGCTTACAAAAAAAAGTGTAATTCCAGATCCTTGGGTTACCACAGATGTTCTCTCCTCCTTACTACTGCTTATGTACACCATGCGTAGCAAGTTCAGTTAATGCCACTTCCATAAAATGTTATACACTTCCAGAAAGACAACTCTGAGAGATATCTTCTCTCAAACCTACAGACTTCAAAGTACAGTTCAGTCTAGAATTTCTTTTTAACAAGGATACGTTTTGGAAATATTATAAATGCCTTTTATTGACTTAAGAACTAAATAATAAAAACAAAAAATGATTGCGTAAAAAAAACATACTTCTCCCCGTGTAGCTTGAGTGCTTCATCTGTTATCTCTTTTAGTTTTATGAATTTATCTCCTCTGTAAAACCCATCTAATAAAAAACGTCAAAGACAAACGGGTCAAAAGAAAAAAAACAGCTTTGCGTGACTCCCACTCTTGTAGTTTCATTCAATTACTGACCGGGCTATAAATTTCTTCCTCTACATAGAAGAAATAAAGGAAATTGCATGTTAGTCAATAGCAAAACGTGATGGTTTGCACCTCTCAACTCCAGTGGAGTCCTGGAGCTCAGTGGTTAGAGCACTGGCCTCGCAAGCGAGAGGACCTGGGTTCGATTCCCGGACAGGATGAAACGTTAGGCAAGTTTCCTTACTCCACACGCTTCTGTTTACCTAACAGCAATTAGGAACCCAGGACCACTTTTCCAGGAGTAATAATCCCTTCGAATTTTTTTTGTAATAATTGAAAAATACTAATTTGGTCAGTCAATCCTCGACTGTTTGTGGGACGCTGCTGTGCGTAATTGGCTCCCGGGTTTCGCCCACAAAATACACGGTCAATTCACTTTACAGTATATTCTGTGAAATGCTTTGAGGCGTCCAGGAGATGTGATAGGATTCTATATCAAATGCAAGGATTATTATTGTTATTATTATTAAGTTTTAAAGAAGAAATGCGAAAAGTGCTGCAAGTATTGTCAGGTGCTGTGACGCTCGTGGTTTGGGCTGGGAGGAATCGTGCGACTTTGAGGGACAGCTAGTTATTTACCTGCCGTAATTAGCAGAGAACAGGAACAATCCAGAATCCGCTCGCTCAGAGCTTCTGCAGAAAATCCTGCAAACTGAACGTTAAACTGGAATTAAAGGCAAAATACGGCAGACCCTGGAAATCTGAAATAAAAACAGAAGTGGCTGGGAACAAGCAGCATCTATGGAAGAGGAAAATGAGTTAACGTTTGTCGACCTGAAGCGTTCATTCATTTTCCTCTCTCCATAGATGCTGCCTGACCTGCTGTGTGATCCCAGCGATTTCTGCTTTTATGTTAAACTAGAATTATTTGAGGGCCCAGTCACGATAAAATATCTGTCCGCTGGACTCGCACGTCAAGTGGAAACATTCCCGAAGGAGGTTATTTAAAATTTTATATCAGCCAGTCAGACCTTGCCCATCGCGGAGTGGCGGGTGGGGAGGGGGAGGTTTCGGTAACAGTACTCACCACAATGGAGTGCACAGCCCCCACCCTGGCACAGGCCAACATGGCAACTATCAGCTCGATTATCATCGGCATGTAGATCGCGACATGGTCTCCCTTCTTGATCCCTGTGTGTTTAGAATAAAAAAACACAAACGGTGACACGGTAGCTCCTGGCTCCGAGACTCCCCCACACCACACCCCACCGCCCCCATCCCCAGCCCTGTGACCTCCTTCCATTATCTTTGTTTATTTAATTTAATTAATTAAACGGTTATTAGTTCGATTGGAGGATCACTTTATTAGTCAATTGCCGCGTTTCGCCCCACAAACTATGCAGTCAATTCACTCTACAGTATGTTCTGTGAAACGCTTTGAGACGTCGCAACAATGCAATAAGGCGCTATATTGAATGCAAGTGTTATTATCCACCTCTTTGACCCTCATCACCAGCCCTGTAACCTCCAACTCCTACCAGGCCTGTGACTCCCCCATCACCTCACCTCTTCGCTCTGTGACCCCTACAGCCCAGCCCAGAACTGACCCCCGCTATCCAGTACAGCAAGAGCAGTGTTTATTCTCAAAGTCGCATGGTTTTAAGAATTAAACTCACCTTGGGCTCGGAGGACATTGGCAAACTTGCAGACTTGCTGCAAGAGCTCTTTGTAAGTGATTCTGGCATAGTCCTCTGGCTTATTGCCCTCCCTGCAACACAACAATGGAAACACACACTGTTATGTATATAAATAAAACCCCATGCAAATCAACGCCTCATTTCAAGGAAAACACATTCATGTGAAAACAGTATACTCTGGAGGCAAAAAAACAAGGGTTGGGTAGAAAGAGAGCAACAACAGGGAAAGTGGCGGAAGCACAGTTGAAAAGATAAATCTTAAAGCGGACTTTAAAGCACTCGCCTCTCAAGCGAGAGGACCTGTGTTTGATTCCCAGGCAGAGTGAAACGTTTGGCAAGTTTCCTTACTCCACACGCTTCTGTTCACCTAGCTGTAAGTAGGAACCCGGTTATCAGTCGATTGGCGTATCGCTTCCTGGGGGTTATAATCCCTCAAAAAAAATGTGGTCACTCAACTCACAACTGTTTGCGGGACACTGCTATGCGCAATTGGCTGCTACTTTTCACCCACCAAAAAAGTCCATCCACTTTGCAATACATTCTATGAAGCGCTTTGAGACATCTCAACGACGTGATAAGGCGCTGTATCAAATGCAAGGATTATTAGTAATTGCCTTTTAAAAGAACTTAGCAAGATGGGAATGACGCTAAGCTATATTTATTAGTATTATTATTAAATCAAGATCAGGATAAAACTGGCCTCAGTTCCCCCTGAGGACGACAGTCATGAAATGCACCAGACGGCATAAGTCATTTCCTGTTGAAGCTTCAGACAAAGTGGAGTTTTCCACAACCAGCTTTTTGTAAATGTTAATCTATAAATACAGTCCCACCAGGGGCCTTCTGCTGCTAGAGGAATTGCACGGGGAGAGGGGGCGGGGAGTGAAGGAGGAGAGAGAGAAAGCGAGGAGTGGGGGGAGAGTTCTGTAACTCAATGCAATAGGAGGGCAGGAAGCACAGTTTGTGAATAAGGAGCTTGCTAAAGGGGAAACTCTCGCTCTCTCTCTCCCTCCTACACTTCCAAATGTCTTTGAGGGCACCAAACAATGTAAATCCTGACCTCAAATTTAGTCGATTGCTGGGCAGAGAGAATCACTGTCGTTCCTATTCCGACTGCCAAAGTATCAAATTATCCCGAGGGTAGGTTTTTGGGGAAAAACCGACAACAGGACCAGTCAGCCACATCGCAACCATTTGTTTCAGCTAGAATTCACGAGAATAACAAACTCAGTCTCTGTCTCCGTGGTGCCAGAGGTAAAAAGAACATTAACTCGCTTCAGTGATGCCCTCCAATGATTTGTTGTGGAGCAACACCAGCGAAAACTTCAGGACCCCTTCTGCTGTTTTTTTCATTCTTTCAATAATAATACTTGATACAGCGCCTTATCACATCTTCCGAGACGTCTCAAAGCGCTTCACAGAATAAATCCACTGTAAAGTGAATTGACTGTGTGTTTTGTGGGCGAAAGGCGGCAGTCAATCGCGCACAGCAGTGTCCCGCAAACACTCGTGGATTCGGTGGCCAAATTATCATTTGAGCTTTATTATAACATAATTTGCTGATGGCAGCAAGCTGGGGCAAGGTAACAGGTTGATAGCATATTCAAAGGGATCTGGATCCATGCAACAAGCTAGATTTAAATAGAGATAAATGTGATAAATCTGCACAACAGAGAGTAATCCTCTAGCAAAACTGGACACAGACCAGTGAAAGGTGGTTTAGACTAGAGGAACCTGGTGTATTAGAGAACATTGAGAGAAGAGCTCGGAAGATTTCAGACGCTGCTTTTCAAGCGGGTCTCACAAAACCAAACTTTATGTTCAAGTCAAAAAGCTAAGATGATGGAAAAGTAAAAGTATCATAATAATAATAATAATAATCCTTGCATTTGATACATCACCTTATGACGTCTTTGAGATATCTCAAAGTGCTTCACAGAATACACTGTAAAGCGAATTAAGTATATTTTTGGGGGCAAAACTATTTTAAGTTTCTGAAACACAGAGTCATGGAGGTCATACGCGCATCATTTATTTCATTGCCTGCAGTTTGAAGTATAAAACGAACAAGCCTCACGCAGGAACTGAAATGAAAGGACACGGTCATAAAATGCACAGAGAAAGCTGTACGTAATACTTTATCAATCAATTACTTTGTAAAGGACGAGCTGGCTGTCTGATTGAGAACAGGATGGAGGGTCACAGGGGAACACGCAAAGGAGATTGAATGTTGTGTGAAGCACAAGGAGTCCTAAATTATTGTCGTCGTGAAAATGTCGAGACAAGGAAGGCAACCAATACGAGGTGAAGGGCAAAGAAACATTGTACAGGACACAAGCAAGGTTGAAGAAAATTAGATAAATGAATGAGTTATGGCATGTCTGCTTGAAACCTCCCCAGCGTTGCAAGGATTTCTCTTAAAGAAAGAATCCTCACATTGACCGTGCAAGGCTACAGATCAGTAAAAAGGTATGTTTGGAGCGGAAAACAACGCTAGAAAAGTATTTGCTTATGATGTTCGTGCAACGGCTGTACAATCACCCCGGATGCGTTTTTCGTCTTGTGACTATCAGTCATAAAGGCGATCAAGCGAGAAAAATTCCCGGGAGGCATCACCCGTGGCAGGAAGGTGCCATGCGTGACTGACAGATTGCATCGCAAGCTCCACTTGTCACTCAGCCTTCATTCAATACCACCAGCTCGATCTGCCGAGGCCAAAAGTGCAACCCAGGACTCAGCAAAGCCCTCCAGCATTACCTTGTGGACCTGAATCAAGATTTTTTTCCCCCTCTATTAATAAGTTTACATCCGAGTCCCCCAAACGTCACAGTAAATCCTGTGAAGCACTATCAGGCTTTGTCTCGACGTGGAAGGCGCTTTATCACATGTAAGGGTTATTAATATCATCACTATTTTAATTCCCAGTGGAAGATAGTAAATAGGAAAAAAAAAACTGTCCGCCGCGTTTCACCCACAAAATATAGTCACTCCACTTGACAGAAAATCCTGTGAAGCACTTTGAGACGACGTGATCAGGCGCTGTGTCAAATTTAAGGATTATTATTATTAGTATATCATTAGGAGCATTCAAATCAATATAGTTTCAATAGTGCTGGTGCACACACTTAACCAACAATAATTATTTCTAAAGTATAATTTTTTTTATGTGTTATTACGAGTAATAATGGACTATGGCAAATTCTTCGATATACAAACCTCAGTCCATTGATAAAGTGGTGCTTTGCACATCTCATATTGTCACATTCATTTGTTTTTTTTTGTTAGATGAGTGAAACCATTAAACAGAATGTAAAACTTCAAAGCCCAACAGAAACTCAGAACACTCCCTTCACCTGGAAATCCAATTAAAATGACTGTGACCGTTATAATGACATTTTATGATCATGGCTGACTGCAATCTATTCCACTATTTGAAAAGAAAATTTGAATTTCACCCACAAATATACAGTCAATTCAGTTAACAGTCTATTCTGTGAAGCGCTTTGAGACGTCTAGAAGACGTGAAAAGCGCTATATCAAATGCAAGGATTAATATTATTCTTATTAAGAGAAGGCAGTTTCTCTCGGTCTCCTGGCCAACAATCATACAAATAAAATTGAGCAATAAAAATCATCTCGACGATGTGATCAAATGCAAGTGTTATTACTATAATTATTAGTATTATGATTGATAATTATACGGCATAGAAATCCAATATTTCAGATTTGCCACTTACCAGTAAAATGCAATTTTATCCCCGAGTTTTTTCTCATTAACATTTCTGTCCAAAACATTGTAGCACATGTTGGTGGTGGCACCTTGCATGCATCTAATGTAAATTTTTGCTCGGGTCAAATCAAAATTGTAGTCCATGAAGTTGCCCGTGTATGGGGTTTTCCAGTAAAATTCTTTTGCAATTTTCCCCCAGAATTCTGTGTACAAAATTAAGAGCAAAAACATGTTTTTAAAAACACAACCGCTTTGCTTCGGTCCTCGTTTCCTGAACAATAAGATGCATTTACAGTGTCGTAAAAAAAAGATTAGCAAAATGCATCGCACCCAAAAGAGGAGCGACTTCAATAAGCGTTAACCACCGAACATAAAAGGCGTTTATTATCAAACACGAGAAAGGTGAAGTTTGCAGTATTTCTTAACCCATTCCTAGTGTCGATTAGCACAGATTATCGGGTCAATTATCGCAGGGAATCGATTACTTTTGAGTCATTTTGCACAAGGAACACAGTAAACGTTCTGCGGAAAGTGGGGTAATGTTCTTCTTCTTTGGGCAATCGCAAAAGTTATAGAATAAGCAAAGACAATGAGACAAAACATGTTTTCGCATTTGGTGTAAGAATAGCTTTGTTTTGGTTTGCAACTCTCAATGTCTATGTTATTGCGCTAAGGAACCCCGGGACCCATATCTCTTTTCTGAAATAAACAGACATCCAATTTTGGCAAGTGGAACCTGTATAAAAGACAGATGTTGGTTTTATCTGGTGTGCAGTGTGGGGAGCGGGATCTTGAAAGAGTTATTGCTACCGCTCTGCACCTCGTATATGAAATAAAGTGGGGTTTTTTTTTTTTATGTTTACCGCACTGACTCCGTGTTGAGTTTTTCGGGTCTTTAAGAGCAATCGCACATCGCAATATATAATATAATAATATTTGGATTTTAACAGTCCCCCCCCCCCCCCGCGGTTTCTCCACAGGCGTTTCGTACGGCTACTGTTATTGTTCCACGAGCTTCCCCCCTCCCGCCCCCCCCAAAAAAAATTAAGGGGTTAAAACCAAGCCTGGCGGGTGGTCTTCTGACAGATGCTTTTAAACATTTCTGCAGCGAAACGACAAGGCAGGGAAAGAGAGAGAGGGAGGGAGGGAGAGGGAGGGAGAGGGAGA